ACTACTAGATTAGCTTGCTCTCTCTCTCTCTCTCTCTCTCTCTCTCTCTCTCTCAATCACCTGTGCATGAATAAGGTTAAATTTTAACTTGAGCTAAACCAAATGAATTATCTTTTCAAGTAGATGACATTTATGCCCATAAAGATTTCTTGTATTCCACGCATGGACAGGCATAATTTAATTTATATATTTTCAAGTAGATGACATTTATGTCCATAAAGTATAGGACCAAATATGTATTTTTTGTACACTAGATTAGCATGCTCTCTCTCTCTCTCAATCGCCTGTGCATGAATAAGGTTAAATTTTAACTTGAGCTAGACCAAATGAATTATCTTTTCAAGTAGATGACATTTATGTCCATAAAGACGTCTTGTATTCCACGCATGGGCATGGCATAATTTAATTTATCAAGTCTTTTCAGTTTGCTCGAATGGGAACCATTTACATGCTCCGCAGGTCATGGTTCAGTTTAAATGTCTCAAGAAAGGATTCAAGGTCTGACTTTCTTGCAAAGGAAGATACCTTTCCTCTAGTGCTGCCTGTTGGTAGATAACTATCAACTTCACAATCCACGTCCATATTTTTTAAAGATCTTTCAAAGTGTCCCAATTTCTAAATCAGTTTCATATTTGTTCAGCCATAGCCAACTCCAATTAGTTGAGAAAAAGTTTTGATATGATGATGATTTGTCTGGCCAAATCCACTCAAACCACCTTCCTTCATAACTGATATCACTACTTCTGCTAGTAGCAAAGTAATTTGGTTGAGCAAATAAACTACTAAGAGTCTCTATTTATGGGAAACTATACAATGATCTGTAGGACCATAGAAAAATTATGGTCACAAGTGTGTCGTTGTCCAATCGATGGATATATGATGATGAGCATACAGTATATGTCATTTGGTCGTCATGTTCTTGTGGATTCCACTATCTCCAGTCCATCCATTCAATAGACGACACATATGACCCTTATACGGTTGTACCATATATTTTCTATGGTTCTGTGACCATGGCATAATTTTCTGTGCTTATTGAGTATCCCGGTTTATGGAACAGGCTTCCTTTATGGTATTTTATTCCAGTATTTGCTTCTTGTATTGTTGAGTTTTTTTTTTGGGTGGATCAGTGGGGATTACACGCTCCTACCTGTTTTTGGAAAGAATCAATTTTTTTTTCTTTTTGCTTGTTCGCCACTTAAATTTGTATCTGCCTCAGAATGTAGTATAGATGCATGTCTTTGCCTAATTAAGAAGTTTCCAAATATAATAGTATCCGATGATGAACGGCACTTCCCAATGAACCTTCTTGCAAAATATGCCCCCTAAGAGACTGGAGAATATAAACGACAGTCCTTGTATTTTGATCTCAATGTGGGAATCCGAGATTATCTACATTTAAGCAGGATCTTATTAGTCATCAGCAACCAGCAATAGAAATGTTCTTAAGCAGGTTATACATTCTAGACTCCATTTATCCTGTGCCTCTATGTGGATATATTCTATGGATCTGTACCATAATCCAATGCATTATGTACACTGTCTCCAGAGGGGAATCCATAGTCTGTTTGTACAAGTACAGCATACCGTATTCCATATGATTATGTAATTTCACTTTTGTTTTTTGTTTATATATTAGAATGAAGATAATCTCATTTTGCAGCACGGTTACCCCACATGCTTATCACTGGTCTTGAGGACTACAAGGCAAGAGGAACGCAAGCTGCTCCATATTTGACAGTGACTTATTATACAGAATTCGCTTCAAGCAAGGATGTGGTGCTCATACGTGGGGATATTGTGCTCCCTAGCAAGCTCGAGGACGAGGAGGGAAGGAGGCTTCTTGAGACCATGCACTCATTCTATTTGAATGATGAGCGTTACAAATTGGTCGAGCGTTTTAACAAAGACACTCATGAATTTGAGTTCAAGGATGTCCTACGAGCACTGGATATACCTATTGGTTGATTGATAGCTGGTTCTCAATGTTTTCTCAGCATGTATTACAATTTTGAAAGATCAAAATTGTTTTTGATGGTATCGTATTCTTAGATCTTCATTTTAGTATGTTTGCGATAATTTAAATTTAAGAAGCTGATGATAAAATAACAGAGTTTTATGTATCTGACGAATTTTTTGTTTTTTTTGTTGGGCAGTGGGAGCAATCGAACTCAAAAGACTGCAATTGAGAAAAAATCGCTTTCCTGACTGATTACTTGTTCTTTTTTGTTGGCTTTATTTCTTTTTCTTTTTGAATAGTTCTTTGGCGTTAAATTTATTTATAGCTTTTCTTACATTAGTTGATCTCCCTTATTTTTCTGTAGTGATTGTGACCGGACTGAACCAGTAGTCCGACCGGTTGGACCGCTGACAAGTGCTTCGGTCAATTTAGTCCAAAGGTAAAAATCTGGTCAAATCAGGTTTTAACTGGTTCAAGCAACTAAATGTGGTTGGACAAAAAAAATTGATACATTGTATATTGTTGAACTATTATATTTCTTTTATTTTATTTTCTTTTTGTAACAATCGGATCCCTCTAGTTTTGCTGCTGGTTGGATCATTTTTCACCAGAAAAAAAAAACGTTTGATGGCCAATCCAGTCCTGATAACACTGGTCGTATCTCCTTTTGTTTTTCCTAAATTTTTGGCCTTTCTGGTTTCGTGGTTGCCTTTTTTTTTCTTGGGATTTCGACCCTTAAGGTTTACTTCACTACAGCGTATAACGTAGAGCACGTTAAACAATTCCTTGCATAAAAGACATACTTTGGTGATTTTTTTTGGATTGAAATTATCGACCCATTTTAAATCTTGCACATGTGCATTCTCCTCTTTCCAATAGTCAAATTCAGAAAAAAGAAAAAAAAAAAAACAAGTAGATCAAATTACACTCTATATATGGTCAAGAGTCTCTCTTAACAATGAACTAAATTGTCCTTTTAGTGAATTTTGAGATTAAGGCTTTTACAAACTCTTTTTTCTTTTTCAAAATTGTGAATGCAACGATAACAAAGATATCTACAAAATTTGAAAAAAAAAACATCAAATCTAAATCTAAGCATCTTATTAAATGAATAGCCTAGGGTTAAAAAAAAGAGAAAGTATCTCCGTAGACCCTGATTTTTAGAACAGTTTCCCAATATGCTCTGAACTCTGAACACTATCTTGCGGTATTAAAGTTTTCAAAAACGTTTGTTCCAACCCCTTCAACATCGTTTGATGCTTTTAGTACCAATTTGCTATCCTAAATAAAATCCTAAATACCAAATGCACCGACCCTCTCTCTCTCTTTCATTTTACCCCCTATCTTAATTCTCTCTCATAGGCCCTCTCCCTTTACATCTTCTTTCCCTGAACCTCTTTATCATTCTCAGAGCCTCTCTCCCCTAAAACCCTCGCTCTCTCTCTCTATCTTGTCTCTCTCCCCCAGCCCCCCATTTTCTCTCTCTAATCTACTGCTCTTTGATACAGAAAACCTCGTTCTATCCAAATTTTCATGGCAGATTTTCCGTTGATTTTTCAGGTGTAATGGAGCAGCACACATGGTCTTCACAAGTCCCCATTAATGGAGGGACAATATATCTAGAAAGAGATATGAGGTTCTCTAAAATTTAGAGGGGTTTAGGTATGGCCCAGTAGCTTAGTGGCAAGGTCAAGAGTCTTCTTTAGGCTTGGGAATATGATTGTTTTTCATCAAATCTCTTTAGGCTTGAGAATATGATTGTTTTCCATCTTCGTGTTCTCTCATTTCTGTATTTCTTCAACGATGGTTTGCCAAAGCCTCACCCTTCATTCACTAACCATTTAGAGAGAGAGGACGAAGAAAGCACCAAATTGGTCACAAGACACCAGTAGTTTCTTGTCCATGCCGTTTTTTATATTCTCCAAGGGCCACAAACTCGGAGTCAATGGCATTTATGATCTTCACCTTCTTCGGCCCCTGCCATCTTCACCTTCAAATCCACAATCACCTCCGTCTTCATCTGATTCAGGGCCTCTGATATCTCTGCCCTCATCGCGTTCATCACGGCTGCAGCTTCCTCCTCTTTTACCTCCTTTGATGGCGATGATGGGGAGAGTGAGATTAAAGTCGAAGACTATAGCTTTCTCCATTTCAATGAGGGCAGGGCCAGCAGAAGTCGGTGCTGCTAAGACGGCGACCCTGCTAGTTTTAGTGAATGGGTTTTTTAATGTCAATAACGAGGTTCATCAGGAAAGATAATTTCCATCAAGGTATCTTAGGATTTTTCTTAGTTCAGATGAAAAAATAACCGGAAAATGAGTCATGCTTTGATTGCAGGCTTCTGGGTCTAGGAGTAGAGAGGGTTTGAAGGGAGGGGGGGTGAGTGAGAGAGAGGTTCAAGGAAGAGAGGGCAGGGCAGGGCATGAGAGGAGACAGGTTGGAGGGAGAGAGAGAAATGAGATAGATCGTGGGTGCATTTGGGATTTACCTGTTGAGGGGGTTGCAAGAAACGTTCTTGAAAACTTTTATGTCACAAGATAGTCTTCAAAGTTCAGGGGACACTAGGAAACCGTTCTAAAAAATAAGCTCTACGGATATATTTTCGCTTAAAAAAAAAATGTTTTGTGTTTTCAAATTTTGCTTTGTGAATTAAAGAAGTGCATATTTAAAAGCCATTTAAATAAAGAAAAAGTTTATATAGAGCCAAAGCTTTAAACCAATGGTTTAAAAAATAGATCGGTGCTTCGGATCGGGCACTTCAAAAATCTATCTGGATCGGTGAATCGGCAATCCGAATCGAAAATCGATCGAATCGGTCAGAGTAAACTTTAAAAAAAATCTAAAAAAATTATTAAAATTCATTATAAATATTTTTTTTTAAGAATCCAATAAGAAATAGGGATACTACATTATTAACTTTCATTTTTTTCATTAATATGCGAATATTGAGATGTTCTTTCTCTGTATGAACTTATGTTAATCATTAAATTTACGTCACACAAGAAAAATCATAGAATTATTATGGTTGAATTATATAATTATACGTGGACTACAATAAATAATGGATTAAATCGATGAAAAAATAGCGACCAAAATTTTGAATTGACGAAAAACCCTAATCCACTAAAAAAAATCCAAATCATTACAACCTAACTAACATTAATAAAAAATTATTACAATCTAACTAACGTTAATCCAAAGTTATTACAACCTAACTAACTATAATCTTATATACTGAAATTAAAATTGTTGGTTTATATTTTATAATTATTTTATTACAAAAACAATAACAAATCCAAAATATCTTATAATATCATCTAATTTAAAATATATTATTGACAACTGTAAGAAAAATAGTAAGGTACATAATTTATAATGCAAATAAATTAATAAATAAAATATAAAATTTTGTTATCATTGTATAAATTATTCAAATGCATGCGAATTTTCAAAATTCTAATTTTTTAGGTTTCAAAAATCAAATTTTTTAAGGTTTCTAGAATAGATGCAGTTCAAATCCGTGCTTGAAAAGCATGATACATGTTGTATTACTTTTTATTTATTTTTTGACAATAAATGCATGTTGTATTACTTTTTTTTTTTTACAAGAAAAATAAGAAGATGGTGTTGCCCAAGGAACTTTTATTTTTTTGTCAATATAACTTTTATTTTTTTGTCAAGGTAATTTTTATTTTTTTGTCATAACTATTATTTCTTTTGTCAAGTTAACTTTTATTTTTTTTTGTCAATGTGATTTTTATTTTTTTTGACAAAAGATTAATTTTTTGTCAAGGTAACTATTATTTTTTTGTCATAACTATTATTTTTTTGTCAATGTAACTTTTATATTTTTTTCATAACTTTTTTTTTTTGTTATCAAGATAACTTTTATTTATTTTTTTTATTCGGATAACTTTTATTTTTTTTGAAAAAAAAATTTATTTTTTTTGAAAAAAAATTTATTTTTTTTGTTAAAGTAATTTTTATTTTTTTGTCATAATTTTTATTATTTTGTCAAGATAGCTGTTTTTATATATATACTTTTTTTTATAATTTTTTTTATTTTTATAACCTTTTTTTTTTTGACAAAAAATCAAATGTTGTCCCGAGGGTTCGAACTAAGAACCCTTAACAAGAAAAGGGAGGTGCTACCGACCATACCACGCAACGTGATTTGTTTTGTCTTGTGTAATATAAATATATGTATATTACATTACGTTTTTCAAAACTACTTAGATTAAAATCTAACATCAAAGCTTTTGAAGAAGATTGACAAGTATAAATTACTCATGGGTATGACAAACCATTGCGAGCGTGAAAAGGTTAGCGCTTCATGGTGACGTTTGTGCGTGTTCGTCACATGTGTATACCTGACTCGCCCGTGCACGCGTGTACACGCTCGATTCGCCTTTGTTGTGATGTCATAAACCGGTTTGTGACGTCATAATCACCCGACTCGCCGATTTCTTTCTAAACACTCGACTAGCCCGATTTCTTTCTAAACACGAGCGGTTTGTTGTTCTAGGCCAGAATCGACATGAGGTGATCGATTCCCATGTCAAATCGCCCGAGTCTGTGATGACTCGGCGATTTTTAAACCACTGCTCTAAACAATCAAATGCATATCGACCGATTTTCGTATCGAACCGCTCGAGTCCGTGGTGACTCGACGATTTTTAAACCACTACTCTAAACAATCAAATGAGAAACCATCTCTAAAATTTCACTAGTAGAGATTGTTTTGATACCTAAATATCCTCAAATTGATCATCTTGATATCAAGATGCATGGAGAAGAGGAAAAAATGGATTGGAAGTTTTGAAAATAGTGTATCTTGTAGCGCATTTTTGGACAGTCAATTTTCAAGTTTTCATATATCTGCTCTTGAAGATTTAAATTTTATAATTAAAGATGAAAATATATTTTAAGGCTATCACAAAAATTTCTAGTATTGAAACCACATTTCTCGACACTATTTGAAGGTGTGCTTTACTTTGGTTGTTTTGAACCTTGACTCTATACAAAGTCATTTATACAATAATTTACTTTTGGTATAAGGAGGTTATAGACCATCACCTGTGGGATGGGGGTATTTTACTAGTTAGCTACAATTTCTAAAATAAATTTTTTTGAATGTTGTGATACAATTAGATTTTACATCTAATGGCTAAAAATAATTGTAAGTTTTTTGTACTAAAAGTAAACAGTTGTATTAGTATATGACACCAATACACACAAACACGTACACGTGCACACACATACAAGTGTAGTTGTATAAGGTATCAATCTTAAACTATCAAAGTATTATGAGGAGGAACCAACATCCGGGTAGGTGCAGTTGCATGGGTTCTAGAAGAGCACAATTGGGAATGGGCAGGGCTACTGGTGTGTGAAACTTGGTTTTCAAATCCATGATCTTGCCATCTTGGGTTGCGTTATAAGCCGTTGGATTGCAACGATGTAACGGTGTCCCGAAACATTCTATTGACAGTGGAGCTTAGTATGTCAATTCACTGATATATGTTTTTTTTTGACAAATAATTCACTGATATATTTTTTCTTGCGGCCTTTTTAGTCCTTAACCTGAAGCATACAATAGGAAAGGCTCATGAGGTTTTCAACTTATTTAATAATATCATCTAACTCCACGATCAATCATAAGTGGGCGAAGAAACTTGCCCCCTGTTTTAAGGTTAGTTAATGGATAATTCACTTGAGTCGATCCAATCACAAGGTGAATGGATTGACTTTGGCCTTTACCCCCTGTATCCTCACACAGGGCTTGAATCTGCTAAGATTGTTTAGCCTTGCTAGGCTAACAAGGCTAAGCAATTATACGAGGATGAGGCATCCTTATAGGAGACCTTGTCCCAAGTCATATGGATCATATCAACTTCTAGGGATTTGTATTGTCCCACTTCAGGCAGATCATTCATGTTTTCATTGGAGGGAGGCCCCTCCGAAGAAGATCCAGTAAATCTAATTGGATCTTAAGTGTCTGTACCATTGTTGTTTGGAATTTTGAATTTAATTGGATCCCCTTCCCTCGAGTCACCTTAAATCAAGGAGATGACAATGTGCCCTTTTGGATTAGGACATGGTTAGCATGCGGCCAAGCCCACACATGTACAAATGCGGGCTCGGCAATAAATATATTTTCTAAATATAATTTGATCCTAATTTTTAGAGAATATTTAACTTTTAACATGGAAATCATGAATATGAAAAAATAAATAAATTTTGAAAACCATAAATAATAATTATATTAAGAAAACATTTGGACTGTTAGTTACAATTGATTTTAGATGGACTACCCATTTGCATCCATCTTTAAGATGAATGCCTTATACATCGGGACTGCATATTGAACAAATGCGGTCCAGCCCGCATGAAACAATTGTTCTTTGAATTGTCCTCGACTTTAGTGGCATTGGTAGTCTTCTTGTCATTATCAAGGAGCAGATTGTGTGAAGATACCCATCTTTTGATTTGATTTTTCTAAGAGCTTGTTCTTTTCTATCATGGTGATTGCCGCTTTATTAATTAAGTTTTGGATAGTGTGGTTCAAGTAATAGCAATTTGACTATCATGCATGTGGTTGGGGCACCAGTTGCACCATTTCAATTTGTCTATGAATTCAAAAGGTGGGTATGACAATGTTAGTATGTAGGCAAGCTTGCCCTTTAGAAGCTTTTGCACTACCTCATCTAGTGAGATTGCCCATTAGAACTTCTTACAATACTTCATCTACTGGCTCCTTGATTGGCATGAATTTTCTGGGGCGGTATTCTCCAATGACATGCTAATTTTCGCTAGTTCTGGAGGGGAGCAATCAATGAGCCGCATATCATCGATGAAGGACTTGTTGGGATTTTTCCTATTGGCACTCAACTTTCTGAGGCTATGGGTCTTGGCATGGTCTTACGATAATGCGAGGTAAATTGCCTAAACATTTCGTCGGGGGGTGAAATATAAACCCTTCCTCGCAAATTTGTTTTAGAGTTTGGGGTGGACAAATCCGAGTAGAAGGTTCCCCACATCTTTAAGGGTTTCTTATAGCTTTCGGGGGCAAAGCATCATGAACCCCCATTCCACTAATGTATCCCGAAGGACCTTCATTGTTTGCTCCATGTTGGTGAACCAAGTGGTGGGTATAATGGTAACTCCACCAATCGGCGAACGCGAGACTGATGGGTTTGTGTTTTTGGTATAGCCGGAAGTGACTGAACCTGCGTTGGATAGTTCTGAGCCACTGGGAAGGTTTGCTAC